TTAATGATATGTTTAAGCACTCTGATATTGGGAAAGAGTGAAGGCAAGAGGAGAAGGGGACGACAGAGGACGAGATGGTTGGACAGTGTCATCGAAGCTACCAGCATGAATTTGACCAAACTCCGGGAGGCAGTGGAAGACAGGAGGGCCTGGCGTGCTCTGGTCCATGGGGTCACAAAGAGTCGGACATGACTAAACGACTAAACAACAACAATGTTTAAGTACAGATAATATATGATAATGTATAGAATGATATATTCCCTGTTATCCTGAGCTATTTCCCTTTACCCTTAAAATAATTTTTAAAAAATAAAAAGTGAATTAGGAGAAATCTGAATGTATTTTATTAAACCATTCAGAAGTAGACATGGAGGAACTGAAAAAAGAATTTAAAAGAAGAATAGAGAGTGCAATTAAACATTTAGGAATTTATATTAAATGGAATTTACAAGATGTAATCAAACTAAATATGGATAATTTGAAGAAAGAAATTAATGAACAGATAAATCATTATAAAAAATTAAAAATGTCTTGCTTTGGTAGAATAGCATTATATAAAATGAAGATTATCCCTAAACTTAATTTTGTATTTTGGATGCTCCTAATAAAGATAGAAGAAAAAGGCTTGAAAGAATGGCAGAGATTAATAAATAATTACTGCAATGGAAATTAACAAGAGGCAATGGTATATTCCACAAAAAGAAGGGCTTGGATTACCTAATATTAGATCATATTACAGCCAACTTAGACTTATACCAGGTATTATAGTATAAAATAGAAACTATAGAATGGAAGGCTTCTTCTCTAAATAAAAAAATTGTAGAAGAAATAAAGATATTAACTAACCCCTTTCTGATGAGTATGATAGAGTGCTGGAATAATTATAGATATATATTGAGTCCACCTATTTTACCATTATTACAAGTAGTGGAGATTCAGAATTTCCCCAAAATTCTTGAAAAGAAACTTAAAGAAGTATTACTAGAGAAAGGGCTAAATATAATAAGGAGTTGGATGAAAAACATAAATTATAAGAATGTTATAAAGGAAATGTGGGGGATGAAGAGGGAATATCTTGATTAATTATACTCCCAATAGAAAGTTAGACTAGAGAGTGGGCAAGAAAAAATGGAGAGATTAGAAAATTGTCAAAATTTGAGGAGATTATCAAACAAAGACAAGTTCAAGAAGAAGGAAGTAAAAGAAAGGGAACAGTTAGTATAATTTATAGATATTAGTGCATTCAGGATTTAATGGAACAACTGTGAAAAATCAGTGACACGAGGCTTTTAAAGAAATTAAAGGATAGGACTGGAATAAGATATGGTCACAAAAAATAATAAAGACTATGTCTGTAAGGGTAAAAGAAAATTGTTATAAGGTAGCCTGGAGATGGTATTTAACTCTAGCAAGATTGAATATAATAAATAAAAATATACCATCTCAATGCTGGAGATGCAAAAAGGAAAAGGGGACCTATATGCACATGTGGTGCATGTGTGAAATAAAAAAGAAAGAATAGGCACTGGTTTTTAAGGAAATAGAAATTATTACCATAGATGCAACATTCAGATATCGCCAAATACTGCCCTCCTGAATATAATTAAGAATGACCATTCGAAAAAAGATTAGAAAGTGTTAGATGTTACATAGCGAAATTATTATTTGCAGAGAATTGGAAAAATGACAAAAAATTCATCTGGAAGATTGGTATAAAGTGGGGGTCTCCAAACTCTACAGTCCATGGGCCACATCTGGGCCCCCTTGCCTTTTTATATGGACCAGTCCAGTATGCTGGGGGTCTGCGGCTTCCTAGAGTGGATGGTAGTGGAAACAGAAGCTAACCATGTTTCAGTTCCAGCAGCCTAGCTTTTGCAAGGAGGAGCGGGGAGGGCTTCCCTTTCAGTACATACATTAGCTGTTTTCTTTCAGGCTGTTCCATCTGGATACAGTAGCAGTGAGGCAGGGTAAATCCCATTCATAAGGGAAACATTAGTGGCAACAAATTCAGTTCATTTCAGTGGGTCTCCTTAGGTGTGGGGCTAACTGTGTTTAGTCCATACTGTTCAACCTCATTAGGTTTAGTAGGAATACTAATCTAAACACTCACAAGAAGATGCTGAGTTCCTCTGTGCTTGAGCAGCTGGAATGATGAGAAAATAGTACAGAATAGTGACAGGAATCTGTTGACAAAGAGGAAGTTTAAGTTACATTATCTCGATACTGGGTTGAATCCAAACTTAGCTGAGTTACACAAAAGGCCTTTTGATCTCAGTGGAACCTAAATTAGCCAAGAGTAGTTTTTCAAATTGATTTCAGGGCATCGTAAATGCAGTTAATTTAGCCTGGATCCATTCCATCAATTAATCCATATTGTTTGAATCTTCTGTATTCTCTCCTGGGGATGTAGGGTAAGGCATAACATTCATAGTTTTACACTTTCGTATGTACACTTTGCTTAAGAAATGAGACTTTTTTTGTGGGGGCTCCTTCTAAATAGTTTTCTTTTAGAAATGGTGGCGCACACAATCAATGTAAAAGATATATCAATGGATTACTGGAAGAGCAAGTGACTTCTTATTAGGGGGAATGTATACATTTTGGAACAGTTTAGAGAATTTTGCCAGAAATGCATCTTCTGTGGGAAACAGAAGTACATACTATCCTGCCAGTGTTACATCTGCAAGATTTTCCCCAGGTTGTGTTGGCGACATTGCTTTAATATCTGTATTTTAATATTAACAGTCCCACAATATTCTGTACATTTCCAGTTCTCTGAAAAACACACTATTTATAACTGCAGGAAAGGAGGAGGTCTGACAGAAAAATCTATATAATCACAGTATTGTAGTTTTTCTCCTGAAGGAAAATCACTAATATAGTGAGATAAGATCAATGCTTAGCTTGTGTATGATAACTTTGAGAAGGGTGTACGGTACATGCTAAGACTTGGAAAGGTTTCTAAAGGTTCTTGTAAAAAAGAATCCTCAAATTTGGTTCCTTCCAAGTATTTTCTTTTCTAAAAAGTAATTTATAAAATCCATAGGTAAAGATGAATGCTGGTAAAGGTGACACAGTTATAAGTCTGAGAGAGAGAAAGATTTTGGAAAAACATGCTTTTTAGGCAGCAAAATCTTAACCAAAGTTGTTTGGGCTTCATTGTAAGAAAAGAAATTTTGACTAGTTAACATGGTTCTTTTATCATGGAACAGAAGACTCTACCAATGTGTGTTTTTTCTTCCTAAAGGTATGGAATCTAATTAGAGACAACTGTAGAGATAGACATTGATCCTGGCAAGAGAAGAAATACAGGATTTCTTACTTTTTTCTTCCATCCCCCTCCACTCCTCTTCCTCCATCATGTATTCATGTACATGCAGATGAGGAAAGGGTTAGTCAGGCACCTACAGCTTCTCCCCAAGTGACAAAGATGATAACGGCACTGAGTGCTGTGATGGCCTCCTCACCCCCACCCTCCGCCCCGTTTTCACTCTCTTTTTCCTCCCCACACCTAACCCTCTGCTTTCCATCATTGCTTCCTTTTCTCACACTTTCTCTCTTTTTTCCAGGCTGGCCCTTCTCCTTCCACTCTTCTCTCCCATCCTCCCTCTACAGATATGCCCCCCCTCCCAGAAAAAGCCCTTTTGAATCCTTCCGGCAACAAAAAAAAGTGTGTGAGAAAAGCCACTATGCGAGCAAAAAGCTGTGAATGGATTTGGTTCAATTTTTGCATCATGGGGGCAGCAAAAATTACCTCAAATTCACCCATTGTAAAAGCAGAACAAATCCCTAGATACAGTGGTGCCCCACATAGCAACGATAATCCGTGCAGCAAAAATCGCAAAGCGATTTTGTCGCTATGCGGGTTTAAAAACCCCAGAGGAATGCATTGAAACCCCATCAATGCGTTCCTATGGGCTTAAAACTCACCTTAATGCGAAAATCCTCCATACGGCTGCCATTTTCGCTGCCCGGTAAGCGAGGAATCGGTGCGAAAACACAGCGGGCGGCCATTTTGTTTACCCGGCGGCCATTTTGGAACCGCTGATCAGCTGTTAAAAATCATCGCTTTGTGATGATCGGTAAGCAAAACAGGGTACTGATCATCGCAAAGCGATTTTCCCCCCGTAGGGAACATCGCAATGCGATTGCAAAAACGATTGCAAAAAATTGTCACGCAAAAACGATTGCAAAAAATCGTCGCTATGTGGTTTCGTTGCTAAACGGGGCGCCCGTTAAGCGAGGCACCACTGTATTTGATGGTGTAGCTGGACTCTCAGTCCATGCACCCTCTTTGTGTAGTGGCTGAAATTCCAGTATTAAGTTGCAACTAGAGTAGGCCAATTGAATCAGTGAAGATTTGGTGAGGCAACACTAATATAGGTTCCATTGAGTCTTTGGGCCTGCTTTACTTGCAGTTTCAGCTGCTAAATGCTGCAGTTGTTGGCATCTCTGATCACCTCTTAGACATGGCAGTGAGACTGGTACCATGGATTTGGGGGGGGGAGTGTGCAGTGATCACAGATGTATTTTTGTACTGATCATGCTGCTACTGACGTGAGAGACTAGGTTATGGAGGGCATATTAAGTCCTATTTTACTAGAATAGAAAGTGCTATTTTAAACCAAGTAAGAGACATTATGGGCATTGTATCTAACAAGTCCAAAAATTGAAGAACATACACTGTCAGAAGGCAAGCAAAGAAGAGGTTGAACTCTGGAAGATAATATAATCTTTATATAACACAATACCCAAAAGTGACACTAAAATGCAAAGTATGTCTATGTTTATTGACAGTAAAGCACGTGTGGCAGAAAATAAAGCACTCACAGTTAATGCTTTGTGATATGTAAGTAAATGAAAATAATCTGTGCTAAATTGGGAAACAGGGAAATATCTGGAAAACATCTGATGGAAACCTTGCAATACAGTATGTTGCTTAGAGAGAAGCATGAACATTTTTTTCTGATTGTACTAACTATTCTTCTCTGTTTGGCTAGGACCGTCGCTTTAATGACGAGATTGACAAACTGACAGGATACAAGACCAAGTCATTGCTTTGTATGCCCATAAGAAACAGCGACGGTGAGATTATTGGTGTTGCACAAGCGATAAATAAAACGACTGGAGGTGCACCATTCACTGATGATGATGAAAAAGTAAGATTATTTTCCGCTTTTTCTCCTTCCCTGGGTTGCATGAGTAAAGTCATTGATGTATATTCTTTTGGACATGTGTGCAGAAATTATAGAGTGTCTTATAAAGAAAGCCATTTCCTGTTATTCTTGATAAAATATTTTCTTTTAGTAATGTTAAAGTAATGGCATTGTTTGACAACTTGCCTTTGTCAGATCAGAATCCTGATGCTTGGGTCTCCGTAAGAGTCCTTACAGAACTTCATAGACCTCCTGGGAAAAGATGGTCAAATTTGATCACACTCAACACTACCCGGGCAGCCATGTTCTGAACCTATAGAAGTGTCCAGGTCAGTCTCAAGGGAACCCCATGCAGAGAGCATTACAGTAATTGATCTTGGAGATCACCAGCACATACACTAGCATCCCCAGCCCCACCCCACCCCAATCCTGGCAGAGCTGAGCATTCAGCCTCAGTTGGTTAAGGCCAACTGGATACAGCTGCAGTGTGACTATCCTGTAAGAGAGCTGGGTCCAGGAGCACGAACTCGTTCTCTATGTGAAAAGGTTATCCTACCCAACTTAGGGAGAGAATCCAACAACCGGTCAGAAGGGTCCCCTCAGAAGAAAGATTTCCATCTTGCCCAGATTCAGTTTCAGTCTGTTCACTTTGGGCCATCCTAGAATAGAGGCCAGGCAGCACTCAAGCACCTGGACAGCATCCACTGCCAAGGATGTAAAAGACAACTGGGAATTGTGTGTCATCAGCATACTGTGATGACAGCGCATTCCAAATCTTTGGATGATCTCTCCTTTTCTCTTAAAGAAGATGACTTTCTTAGCTTCTAAACATAATATTAACACACAGTTTTTTAAAAAAACACTCACCCAGATGAACCAGTTACAGTCAATGGAGGAAAATCCATGTTGATTGTTACTTTCAGCATCTGGAAATGAAACATGCTCCTGTGCTTTGATTATTGTTGTTCTTTGATATTTGATATTTGATATTTTCTTCATATTTCTCGAACCTGTGTTTAGTTCTGAATGTGTGTTTTTGCTATGTGGACAAATATTTCTTTGTGGACTCCAATAAAAAGTTATTTCTGCTTATCTTCAATTAAGTTGCTTCATTGTCAGCAGACTGAATTGATAAAAATTACTAACAACATACATTATGTATTCTGTTAACCTTTCAAAAAATAAATATTTTCTATGCAGAATACCTGACTATTTCAGTCAGGTGCTACAGAAAGCTGTTAGATGTCTGAATTCTGTTGCTCTATTTGAAATATAATACTGTCATCTCATTATGATGTGTAAAGCATCCAGTGTTTGCCTTTAATTTTAATTTTGCAATACTCTTTGCAAATTTCACTTATATTTTTGCAGTTGCTCTAATGTTTTTTGACAATATAATTTAAATTGTAGAATTGACTGTTCTAATAATCTATAGTTCTACTCAGCTTGATGCTTTTAACATGGCTGGGCAAAATATAGATCAGTATGTGTTGATTGATTTTTCTGGACCTATGTATAATAAAGATTGAATTGGTAGATCTCTGTGGTTTTCAAGTAGATCCTAAAAGACTTCTGACTTCCAGTTGGTCAACAGTGGGAATAAAACATGACCACCACTACCGCACATACTGCTGTTGTGACAAAGAAGTATGAGGGTGATGGTGGTTGAGAATAGGAATCAATTTTGCATTGAAAGAATAATAGATCAGTTCAGTCGTAGTCTGCAGAAAGTATCCTAAAGCTCAGAATCTTTGTAGTGGATGACTTTTCCTACTGGGCCTGATGTGAAAATCTTGGCATTCTAGTTCAAAAGAAAGCGAAACTTCAAAACCTTAAATCTGCCTACTCCTAACACATTTTCTAATATTGGTAAATTATGTATTCGCGAAGGCTTTCACGGCTGGGATCTAATGGTTGTTGTGGGTTTTCCAGGCTCTGTGGCTGTGTTCAGAAGGCTGTTCTTCCTGACGTTTCGCCAGTCTCTGTGGCCGGCATCTTCAGAGGACTGGTGTAGGAACTCTGTCTATGCTCTGTCCAGACTGGTGAAACGTCAGGAAGAACAACCTTCAGAACATGGCCAAAGAGCCTGAAAAGCCCACAATAATCATTGGTAAATGTTTCCAGTGGGATAAGACACACACGTTTCCAATAATTGTAGTATCACTGGGTAGAATTCTGTTTGTGATTCATGTGTGCATAAATAAAATTGAATTGCTCACAGTGGCAAACTAGGACTTACTAACGTAGTGCCAGTCATGTTAAAAGAGACATGCACCTGATTGGATACAAGGCACATGCCTATTAATTCAACTGGTGCCTTATTGGTTACTGCCAATTCACTCTGGTGAATTAATGTATTTTAATTTACAGAATTCTGGCCTCTGTATCTTTATGCACAGATCATTATCTGTTGATATGTATACTTGAATTCATTTAGAAATGTCAGTCAACACTGCCCCCTCATTAAATCAGCGATGTCTGCTTGCCTCTTCATACCTCTATGCAGTAAGCTTATAATGGCATGAGGGAATAATCTTGATGATGTTACATGATTACAGCATAATCCTAACCACTCATATTGCCTGCCTGGGAGGGGTTTAGGACACAATGGAGGTGACCTTCTATCATATCCCAACTTAGGAGGATTCAGAAGGCCCGGAAACGAGAGAGGCCCGGAAAGAAAGAACTAGAAACTGGGCGTTCTCGGCAGTGGCCCCTCGGCTTTGGAACAGCTTGCCGCCAGAGATCCGCCTGGCACCCTCGCTGGGTGTTTTTAAGAGCCAATTAAAGACTTGGATCTTTAGGCAGGCCTTCCCTCCTGTCAATACTTGACTTTTATTTCTTACTTAGTCTTTTGTTTATATTTTCCCATTTTGATTAATACTTTATTGTTGATTTAATTATTGTTCTTTTTCGTGGTCTCTGTGAATGCACACATATGGGTATTGTCTGCGCCTGCGCTGACTCTCTCAGAAGATTCTAGAGCTAAAAGTAACAATTTTATGGTGTGATCCTCCATGAGGTATATGCTCCTCCCACCCACCATCTTCCTCAGTTCCTTTTTTCCGCCGAGCTGTTAGGTTTTCCGGAAACTAGAGCGCTTCGCTTTGCCTTTAGGCTATCTTTTCTAGGCTCTTTGAGCTTTTGTTTGCGGTTTATTTATACTAGTTAGTGATCCTCCTAGCCTTTTGTTAAGCCTTGATCGGCTTCCCGCTGGTTTTTTCTTCCCTTCCCCGTTCCCCTTCCCTTTCCCCCTTTCCCCGTTTGCCTCTTCAATCTGTCTCGCATGGCCTCGCCGTCGCCTTTCAAGTGCTGTACAACGTGTGCAAACAAAATCGCACTTTCAGACGGCCACGAACAGTGTCTTTTTGTCTGGGCGAGGAGCACCAGACCCACTTGTGCCCTGCTTGCAAAAACCTTACCAAGCCAGCACTTAAACAGAGACTCCAGAGACTTAGATCGTACCTGTGGCAAACGGCCATGAATCCGCCTGCTCCGTCCTCAGAGGCGGCAAGATCCCCCACTTTCTCAGCGGACCGACTTCCAGCAGGCCAGTCTACTTCAGACTCCATTTCTGTGCTACCAGCTAAGGACGCTGTTGAGAAAGCAAAGTCGTCTGGTAAGCACAAAGTCCCTTCTTCAGGAAAAACTCGGGCACCCGAGATGGGCCTGAAAAAGAAACCAAAACCTGCTTCCAAAAGGCCCAGGAGGGAGAAAGCCCCTGTCGTGGAGCCCCCTATGCCCGCACTACCTTCTCCCATTCTTGAGTCCTCAAGGGAAGCCCCATATCTCATCTCGGATGGAGAAGAGCCCCAAGAACCAGCGGGTCACTCTTCTGTTCCCTCAGTACTCCGAGCATTGGCCTCAACGCGGCTGCGCCACAGTCCAGCCCAGCCTCATCCCATTCAGACCCTGACTCAGAGCGGGCAGCTGAAAGCTCGGCATCCGATCTGGAGGTTCCCCCTTCACCTCCAAGGAAGAAAAAGGAGAAGCGAAAGCACCTCTCCCCACCGAGGTCCGTGCCATCGCAAGGCGATTTTTGCCCTTTTCCAATGCATCATACCATTTTGACCCCTTCATCTGGCAGACCCTGTACGAAAGGTACCAGCCTGAACAGGCTAAACGGCCCCGAATGACGCCAGAACTTCCCCATGCCGGCCCTTTCGTGGACTCTAATCGCCTCCGTGTGACCACTTTGGCCCCGACGGCTTCAGCTCCGCCTGTATGCCCTCCGGCCCCATCTAAGCCAATGCCTCTAACTCAAATGCGAGACAGAGCTCATGAAGCCGTACCCCTACGTCCCGCACCACCAATGCCGGACCCGATGCCATCTCAAGGCCCCTTTGAAGGCATGCCGATCCAACGACACCAAGTGCCCCTGACAGAGGGCTTTGGTCCATCAGACTACCCTTCATCCCCAGGCTCCCCTGCATCTTTGGAGGTACAACACTCTGAGTCCTCCCATGAGCCTGAGCTTCCCCCTCCAGTCTCAGATACGAGGGGCAGCCATGCTTTGTCCTCTTCGGATGATTTCTCCTCCTATTCTACACTTATTTTCCAAATGGCACAAGCCCTGAATCTCGACACCGAACAGCCCTCGTCTGCGGATGCCGACCCGGTGTTCGATGACATCAACCAGGAGCGTCCCGTTCCATTGAGTCTCCCCTTTAACAAGTC